AATCTGGCTGCTTCTCCCATAAAAATGCACCAACTGACCCAAAACTCACGAAGATGAAAGATAACCCTAAGGGTAATACCTGCCCATAATATTATAGGATAGGTCTGTGTAGATTCAGAAAATCAGCATGAATGAAAAAAAATTTTAAAGAAAATTTTGGCCCATTTAACCTTAAATGGGCATATTTTAAATCCCACATACCACTTTCAGTCATCCATAGAAACTTTTCCTGCAATGCCTTCAGTTTGGGAGATATTTTGCGTTTCATTTTGCAAATTTTGGACAAGGGTGCAATGTGACAAACACCACACCTATACCCCAGCACCGCGCACCCAAAATTAACATGGATCAAGTTGAGATTATATCTGACCTACATACAAGAGATGGATACATGGTCTCTTATAGTTTAAGAGGAGAAGCAGTAACAGTGACGTGGTGGCAGAGAACAATGTGCAATAAGACTTAAAATGTATCAAAATTACCATCATGAATATAATTAAATATTAACAATTTTGTCAGTTATATTTTATTTCTTTTTAATTTTGAAAAAATGACATTTAACAACTGCAGATATCTGTGATAAGCTTATCAGTTGACTGTGTGTAACAGAAGTGTAGCTTATTGGCAATTTGTATGAGAAGAGTGAGAATTATTGAAAACAAATATTTTAATACGCCAATATATCATATATATCATTCAATATATCATTCAGTCTCCAAAGAAACATCAAATGTGATATTCTACTGCCAATCAGGATCACACGAGATTAGGCGAGATTGCATTGTGATACCAAAAGTCAATGCGTTGTTGACTTTTTTTTCGAGTCAGAAGTATTTTTTACAGGACGAAGAGGTTTTACGAAAAATTGAAGATTAGTTTGTGCTTAGTGTGCCAGTATTGCATGCGTGCAGTACAACAAGTGGTACTAAATGTTTTTAATACGATAACTGAATGGCTCCAGTGCATGCGTGCATGGAATATCGCCAACTGAACTATGGCTGTTGAGACAGTAAAATGTTCAGACTTAACATCCACTATTTTGTCGGATATGGATACTTTGGTAAAGCCTGTTGAGGAACAGTTGCAACTGAAGCAAGTGGGCTATGTTAAGATGCCACTGGCATCGTCAAGTGCAACAAAACCTCCCTCTGAAATAGCGAACAGTTGGAAAATAAGTACACATGAAACAACAAATGAACAAAATGGCGACACTGGTGCTCGCCCGCATGCTCGCAAGGCTGTCAAAGGAGACAGCTCAACTGATGGGCCTAGCCCACACAGTTCTAAGCAAAAGCACAATCAGGATGGTAAGCACCATTCCTCTACTTCTTCCACATCTAGTTCACGCAAATCACAGAAAGAAGATTCTGCTAGTCGTCGTGATATCGTTGCACTGCGAGAACAAATGGGTCAGTTGACAGATATGATGACCGGTCTTGCTCCAGTCATAAAGGAGCTGAAAGATTTCAAAACTCTTGAGCCAATTAATGGAAGAAGGTGAATTGGAGCCAGAGGTATGTCATATACAGCTAGAAAATGACTCAGATGCAGAAAGCCATGCTGACTGTAGTACTAGTAAGCCCATTTCTTGTGCCAATGCAACAAGTGATCAAAAACAGGCAGATGATGTTCTTAATGAACTTTCAAATGATCTCATGAAAATGGACAATTGTGGTCCTCCAGTGCTGGATAAACTAGCTGAAATTTTAAACTATGTTGGCTACCACGGAATGAGTGATGATAAAGTGGCAACAAGGGCAAAACAGTTCAATAGACCAGAAAACTGCAAAACTATGACACCATCAAAGGTAAATTTTGAAATTTGGTATGATCTCAAAACTGAAACCAAACATAGAGACTTGAAATATCAGAATATGTTATCAACTCTGTACAGTGGGTTGACACCTTTTGTAGAACTGACTAACCAGCTGCTAATCTCCCTGCAAAGCGAGTCGTGTGAATCACCATTAAAAGCTGAGACAGTCCTCCCAGGTTTAACAAGCGGTTTAGCCCTTATTACCTCTGTTGCCCATGACATAAACATGAGGAGGAGAGAACTTATCAGACCAGAACTCAATTCAGAGGTTATGAAATCCCTGTGCGCTCCAAGCAATCCTGTTTCACAAGAACTGTTCGGTGATGACCTGAGCAAAAATGTAAAGGAATCACTTGAAACCAAGAAACTTGCTTTAAAAGTGACAAAGTCCAGCTTGCGTGGTAGAGGAACACGGCGTTTCCATCCTTTTCAGGCTGCTTACTCTCATTTCAAGTATGGCCAATCATCAAACAGCACAAGGCCTTTTTTAGGCCAAGGGCGAGCCAATGTGGCTTGGAAAAAGACAGCTCCACCCGTGTTCAACAACCGTCCAGGTTACAACAGCCAAAACCAGAGGCCATACACCAGCAACAACAAAAAATAAATGTGAGTAAAGTTAAGTATGCTCATATCACTTCAGTGACTGTCACAGAGTGTAGCAAGATTGCTGGGAATATTCAACATTTTCTCCATGAATGGAGACAACTAACCAGTGATAAAACTATCTTGGCTTTTGTAGAGGGTTGCACATTTGAATTTCTTGAAACACCTGCTCAAATCTCTGAACCTAAATCACTCACATTCAATAGAGTAGAAACTGAGGCCATTAATTCAGAGGTTGATAAATTGCTCTCTAAAGGAGTTCTCATTGAATGCCAAGATGAGCCAGGCCAGTTTATATCAACAGTATTTTTGAGACCAAAGAAAGATGGGACTTTTAGGATGATCCTTAATTTGAAAAAACTCAATCTGTTCATAGCTTATCATCACTTTAAGATGGAAACTGTACATAGTTGCATTAACAGTACCCTCTACCAGGGCGATATATTGATTTTTCACAGATATCAACAGATATGTCTCTAGATAAATAGACAGTCATTTTGGTCTGATGTCACCCTGTTCATAAATCTCAAGGCTGATTACATGGCTGGTAATTGTTTGCGCACTGCCACTTGGCAGGGCCATTCTAAGTCTGCTTGACAGCAATCAAGACAGTTAATTGCCTGACTTTAATCACTTGCTCTTCTGTGACAGATAAAAAGCCTTAGACTGGTTGCGTAACGAGCAGTTGTCACATTGTTGTGCAGCTCAGCTCATGCAGAGTGAGTACAAAGCCTTTGGCGCGCGCGCAGAGATAATTGTTTCCTCATGGTCAAACTCAACAGGGTCCATCAGCAAGAAATGTCCACATAATAAATGCGACCCTGGTAGAGGGTACATTAACAGCATGACAAAAAATTGCTATATGGCATCACTGGATCTGCTGGATCTACTCTGTACCTGTTGACCCATCTTTCCAAAAATACCTAAGATTTAGGTGGAATGATAAACTCTACCAGTATACAGCTCTCCCGAATGGCCTGTCATGTGCACCCCTGTACTTTACCAAGTTAATGAAACCTGTGCTGGTCTCACTTAGGAGAGCTGGGCATATTGTCTCCTGTTATTTAGATGATTTGTATTTGCAATCTAGTACATATACTGGGTGTCAAGAAAGTGTGCAAAATACCATGGGATTGTTGGAAAGTCTTGGATTTATTGTACATCAAGAAAAGTCGAAATTTACCCCTGCACAGAACATAGAACATTTAGGTTTTATCTTGGACTCAAAAAACATGCATGTGACAGTCAATGAAGAAAAGCAATGTAACATGGTGACACTTGGTAATAAGATCATTAAAAAGAACTCTCAAGGAAACTGTTCTATACAAGAGGTAGCTCAGTTAATAGGCACAATGGTTTCCTGTCTGCCAGGTGTGGAATATGGTGAACTTCATTACAAAAGTTTGGAAATTGAAAAAATAGCTGTGCTTAAAATGTCTATAGGTAATTTTGATGCCCTGGTATCCCTTTCTCAGTCGTCTGTTGATGACATTAAATGGTAGTTTGACATGGCTCTCTTTCCAAGGAAAATTTCTCATGGCAATCCAGTGACCACTCTCCAAACTGACCCTTCTTTAGCAGGCTGGGGCGCTGCTATGAGAGATAAGACAACAGGGGGGCACTGGCTTGAAACTGAAAGGAATGAGCATATTAACTTTCTAGAACTGAAAGCCATTTTTCTTAGGTTACAGTCATTATGTGGACGTCTAAAAAACTGTCACATTTTGATAGAAATAGACAATTCAACAGCAGTGGCGTACCTCAAAAACATGGGTGGCACCCATTCTGTACAGTGTAATCATATCGCAAAAACTATATGGCAGTGGTGCATATCTAAGAATATTTGGGTCAGTGCTTCTCACATTCCCGGAGTAGAAAACACACAGGCAGACAGGGAATCACGCAAGTTCAATGACTGCACTGAATGGACTTTGCATAAAAAAAGTGTTCAGTAACATATGTAAACATTTTGCAGTACCAGAAGTTGACTTGTTTGCTTTGCAGCTTTCATTCCAAGTTGACACTTTTTTCTCATGGAGAGCTGATCCTTTATCTGTAGGGACTGATGCTTTTGTTCATGACTGGAATAACTATAACCTTTGTTATGCTTTTCCACCTTTCAGTATTCTACAGAGTGTGCTTCAGAAGATAATGCAAGACCAGGCAGATGTACTCTTGGTAGCTCCAGACTGGCCCACGCAGACATGGTATACACAGCTCCTGCATTTGTTGGTGCAGCCACCAGTGCTCCTACCACGGCGACAGAACCTGTTACATCTGCCACACAGCCTCCACCAAGTCCACCCTCTTTGGAGAAAAATGCAGTTGGTGGTTTGTCACTTATCAGGGAAAACTTACAAAGGGAAGGATTATCAGACAGAACTCAGGAAATTATCATGTGTTTGTTGTATCCAATGCATGTGGCTGCCGATTGGTCGCGTCTTGACCATGGCCACCACCTGGTGAATGACGTGGTAATAAATGAAAGTATATGGAAGAAGCACATGGCGAGTTCAATTGAGTTATGTTAAATCGGTCATAACATTGGCGACGAGGACGGGATAGAAATAGAAATACTAACATGGCACAGGGAGAACCGCCGATTCAATACATCCACATGGCAGGAATTGTTCTGCACGTCACACCATTTAATCCACCGGAAAATCGACTAAATACCGGACCAGCATGGGAAACATGGCTGGAGGAATTCGAAGAAGAAATGCAGTTGCAAAAAGTGCAAGAAGCAGACAAGGTAACTTGCCTTAGGCGCTACGGTGGGAAAGAGATAAGAAACAAAATAAAATACTTACCAGATCCTCCAGTAATTGAAGATGAAGAAAGTGCATACCAGAAGGAGGTACGAAAACTGAACCTTCACTATAAACCGAAGCAAAATAAAATGCATAGTGTATATGTATTCAATAAAACAACAAGGATCCCAGGAGAAACCATAGCTTCATTCACTGCCAGGTTGAGAGAAAAAGCTGAACATTGTGATTTTGGTGAGAATGCAGACGCTCGTATTTTAGAAAGGATAATTCAGACTATGGATGATAAACAGATCGTAACTAAAGCCATTCAAAGAAATTGGAACTTAGAAACCTTAATCCAAGAAGTGAGCCAGAAAGAAGATTTAAACAAAGAAGTTGACAATATGAGAAATGAATTTAAAGTGGCAAAAATCTCGGATGGAGTCAGCGTCAAACCTAAAAGAAGATACCCGCAACTGATGAAAAAACCCATTAATCCAAGCTCAAGATTGCAGTGTTCTAGATGTGGAGGACAAATTCATAACAGAGATAAATGTCCCGCTAGTGGAAAACAGTGTTTTAAATGCAGCAAGTGGAATCATTTCCAGAAAGTGTGCAAAACTCAGAAACCAAGTGACAAGCCAACCGCGTACAGAGGCAGAAAAATGGTGAAGAAAACAGAGTTAGAAGATAGCTCTGAATCAGACAATGGGGATTTCATAAAAACTGTGCATGTCCACCGAATCAAACAAGAACATGTGGGAGAGACAATAGAGGTGAGAATAAATGACATTACATGTGAGTGTGAACCAGACAGTGGTGCTGCCACTAATGTAATGGATGAACATCAATTCAAACATCTAAGCAGAAGATCAGACACAACCCTGAAACCATCGAAAGAAAAACTGAAAACTATACAATCAGAGCTAATCGTTCTAGGTGAGTGCCCAGTGACCATTCAGAATAGCATCTCAAAATTCATTGTCATCAAGGGACATTTGGGGTGTAAACCACTGATAGGCAGAAAAACACTAGAAGACTTAGGAATGATGGAAATAAGGGAAGACGGCTCTCTTAAAGAAGAAAATGACTTGAAGATTAAAGTAGTCAAAGAAGACAAAACAGATGTTCAGAAAATCTTAGATGAATACAAGGATGTGTTCACAGGTATCGGGCATGCCAAAGACCCTAAGTCAGGAGCACCCATTGAAGTAAAACTGGAAATGGAGACAGATGTCAATCCAGTTGCTCAGAAACCGAGACATGTAGCTTTTCACCTCTTAGACCCTTTAAAAGAATTCTTAGAGCAAGGGGAAGAAGAAGGTATTTATGAGAAAGTCCCTGAAGGAGAAGCAATAACATGGTGTTCACCGCTCGTAGTACAACCTAAACCCAAGTACACTTCAGTTCGTGGGAAGCTAGAACCACACATGATCCGTGCAAGCATTGATATGAGGATACCCAATCAAGGCATGAAAAGAAGTCGCTGTGTACAAGCACCGATAATTGAAGACTTCACTTACCATTTACGTGACTGCAGTATATACAGCAAACTTGATTTGAGATCGGGGTACCATCAGTTGAGTATTGATGAGGAATGTTGTATCCAATGCATGTGGCTGCCGATTGGTCGCGTCTTGACCATGGCCACCACCTGGTGAATGACGTGGTAATAAATGAAAGTATATGGAAGAAGCACATGGCGAGTTCAATTGAGTTATGTTAAATCGGTCATAACAGTGTTCATGGCGTTCAGGGACCAAAAAACAACACCAAACATATATTAACAAATGGATTGCCTTTTGTACTGAAAGACATTTCAATTACTTACAACCAAATATGCCAGAAATTTTAGAATTTTTCACTCAACTTTATGACTCAGGATTACAGTACAGTGCTATAAACACAGCATGCTCAGCTCTAGCCACATTTATTACATTAAATGGAGATTTTTCCCTAGGCTCACACCCTTTAGTGAAAAGGTTCATGAGAGCTGTGTTTCAGACTAGACCAGCACTACCTAGGTACCAGTGTACATGGGATGTTGATATTGTACTTGATTACATTGAGAGACAATCACCTGTAGAAGAACTTAGTTTAAAAAAGTTAACACTAAAATTGGTAATGTTACTTGCATTGATAACTGGACAACGATGTCAGTCTATTCACCTGCTGAATTTAAGACAGATAAGGGTTTTGCACAGTGGTGTGCAGTTTGTCATAGATCAATTAGTAAAACAGACAAAACCCGGGAGAGAACAACCAGTGTTGATGCTGCCTAGATTTAGGGATAATGTTTCTCTATGTGCTGTTCATACTTTAAGAGAATATTTAGTTAGAACTAAAGATTGTAGAGTTGGTTTAGATAGCACTCAGTTGTTTCTTAGCTACTTAAAGCCACATAAACCAGTTACTAAACAAACAATTAGTAGATGGGTCAAAACTGTAATGGCTCAAGCAGGCATAAACACAAAATTATACAAGCCACACAGTACTAGAGCAGCATCGAGCAGTAGGGCATTTTTTGCTGGTGTACCTTTAGCTTCTGTGATGAAAGCTGCAAGTTGGAGCAGTTCTTGTACTTTTAGGAAATTTTATCAGAAACCTGTAAATGACAGTTGTGATTATGCCTCCGGTTTGTTGAAATGGAAAAAAAGGAGGGGGTGAGTAGGTGTCATTATATTGTACATGATAAGGTACATGATAAATGTGGACTGCAAAGAATAACATGCTTAAGTAAGGTTAAAGGGTTTTGTTTTCTTTTTTTGTAGTTGATAGATTTTGCATGAGTCTAATGCAGACATGATGTGCACAATTTGTTCTGTTTTTTCATAAATGTTTAAATAACACTTGTTATTTGTCGTTATTTTTTTTTGGGAAATATCCTCAATGTCCACTAAGGCTTTGAAATCTCGCCTAATCTAGTGTGATCCTGATTGGCAGTAGAATTAAAAAATTAAACGAGACTTAATTACCCAAGTTGAAGTTTGATTGTAATTCTACTGCCTTATCAGGATAATGAGAGATTAAGCGCCCACCCTATATGGTAAACCCCTCCCACTTAAGAAGTAATGTTACAAAATGTTTTACAAAATAGTGTATCTGAGTGGCCATTTTTGGTCTGTGAAAATTGACTTTTGGTATCACTACGCAATCACGCTTAATCTCTCATGATCCTGATCTCAACCTTGCATCATAACCTGGACGCGACATGTTAAAAAAAATTACGCACTTGGGAACGTTTGTTGCATGCAGGGCTTTTCCCAGGATTGAGTGTCAGGCCTTCTAAAATTACCATCTGTAACTTCCTAAAGATTTACAGGGAGTAAAAATAATGATCTCCCGTTGACGATCTTCCGCAATTTAAGTTCCTTGAACTAATATGAAAACTGCATTTTTTTATTGCTTACATCGTGAACAATCTCCCGATGAAGATGTGAAAATTGCCTTTTCGTCTAGCAAGGATCGCGAACGATCTCCTGCTGACGATCTTCCGCGAACGAAGTTCCCTAAATCCCTTGAACTAATATGAAAATTGCATTTCATCCTTGCTTACATCGCGGACGATCTCCCAATGATGATAAGAAAATTGCCTTTTCGTCTCGCTCGGATCGCGAACGATCTCCCTCTGACGATTTTACGCGAACAAAGTCCTGCCGATAGTACGCAAACGATTCTCCGCCGAAGATATGCCGTGAGCGGGGAAGGGGGGGTTAAAGACAAAACTAAATATATGTATTATTTATAATATTCAAAGAGGGAGACGGGTTTAAAATAATGATCCCCCGCTGACGATCGTTCGCAAACTAAGTTCCTTGAACTAATATGAAAACTGCATTTTATTATTGCTTACATCGCGAACAATCTCCCAATGAAGATNCGTTGACGATCTTCCGCAATTTAAGTTCCTTGAACTAATATGAAAACTGCATTTTTTTATTGCTTACATCGTGAACAATCTCCCGATGAAGATGTGAAAATTGCCTTTTCGTCTAGCAAGGATCGCGAACGATCTCCTGCTGACGATCTTCCGCGAACGAAGTTCCCTAAATCCCTTGAACTAATATGAAAATTGCATTTCATCCTTGCTTACATCGCGGACGATCTCCCAATGATGATAAGAAAATTGCCTTTTCGTCTCGCTCGGATCGCGAACGATCTCCCTCTGACGATTTTACGCGAACAAAGTCCTGCCGATAGTACGCAAACGATTCTCCGCTGAAGATATGCCGTGAGCGGGGGAAGGGGGGTTAAAGATAAAATGAAAAATAAATATTATTTATAAAATTCAAAGGGGGAGGGGGGGTTTAAAATAATGATCTCCTGCTGACGATCTTCCACGATCGAAGTTCCCTTGAACAAATATGATAAGTGCATTTTATTCTCGCTTACATCGTGAACGATCTCCCGCTGAAGATATGAAGACTGCCTTTTCGTCTCTCTCGAATCGCAAACGATCTCCCGCTGATGATCTTATGCAAACGGAATCCGCTACAAATATGAAAATTATCTTCTCCTCCTGTTTGGATCGCGAATGATCTGTTGACGATATTACGCGAATGATTCTCTGCTGAAGATATGAAAATTGCCATCTCGTCCCATTCGCATTGCGAACGATCTCCATGTACGAGCCAGGTAATGGTAATGGTCCTAAATTGAACATGGACATGAATAGAAGTGACGGGTACATTTCACTTCGAGATAATATCTTGGCTTTTTCATTGTGTCTTCCGGGTACATTTCACTTCGAGATAATATCTTGATTTTTTCATTGTGTCTTCCTCATTTAGGACAGCCGCCGATAACAATAACAGCGTTACAAATGACAAAGCCGCGGCCTGTGACTTCTATTTGCCGGCTTGATAATGCACCTTAAGCCAGGTAATAGTAATGCAACTAAAGACAAAAGGCCGACGTTCCCGCAATTGAGAACGGGAATCCACATCTAAACCATCTATATTGTGAGTAACCGCTCGCAGGGGCGCAATATTGTTCCTATCTCCCATTGAGAGTGTTATCGGCAATGATATCCTGATCGTATCATTGTCTTGAATCAACTGACACATTACCTTCATGTTTGAGCTGGACAACGCGGCCATATTTGGTGACGAACTTTTCAAAAATTATCAAGTACCTCATTTTTAAGGTCGACGAAGTTTTCAAAGGGAAAAAAATTACGTCGGCGGCAAATCATATGCCGACGAAATTTTCAAGAACGACGAAATTTTCAAGACTTTACCGTACATTAAAAAGACTGGCAATTTTCATGGTATAAAATAGTTAAATGTTAATAGTTTTGACAAATCTAGTCCAATATTTTTGAAATTTGTACAAATGATGCTTAAAATCAATAAATATCTCTGAAAAATTTTCATCAGTTGACTGTGTCTAATGAAAAAGATTTTTAAGATCATATTAATTGGAGAAAACTGAAAATTACATTGAAAAGACTGCAAAATTCCATGGTCTAAAATAGTTAAACGTTAAAAATTTTGACAAATCTTGTCCAATATTTGTGGAATTTGGAGAGATGATGCTTAACAATAACAAAAATCTGTGATAAGCTTAACAGTTGACTCTGTGTAATAGAATTGTAGTTGTTTGGTATTTTGTATGTGAAGGGTGAGAATTATATAAAACTTTTCTTTCAATTTCACAACATCTAATTAACCTCATATTAAACATCAAATATCATGATTTGAGTTTCTTTGTGTAAGAGGTGAAAAATTAGCCATAATTGTCCTCTGGATAAGAATATATACCCATTTAAGACATCTTACTACCAATACCAGATGCAGATTCCTCCTTACAATCAGTTTCTGGAATAGGGTTTAGCACACCATTTAACAATGTCCTAAAGCTTGCCATATACCATCTATTGTACACATGGATGAGACATAGCATTGCTCTTGCTGTTGTCTTTTGATGCCTGTTTTTTCTATAGGAATTAGCCCTGACCAGACAGGAAGAATCAGTTCACCAAAAAATGACTGTGTCTAATAAAAAGGATATTTTCAGAACATATAAATTTGAGAAAAACTGAAAATGACATTGAAGACTGCCAAATGCGGTGCCTTAAAATAGTTAAATGTTAATAATTTTCAAAAATCTTGTCCAATATTTGTGAAATTTGGACAGATGATGCATAACAATAATAAAAATCTGTGATAAGCTTATCAGTTGACAGTTGACATATTTCAGAGCATATAAATGCGAGAAAACTGAAAATGACACTGAAAAGACTGCCAAATTCCATGGTATNCACGCTGTATGGAAAAGGTCACCTGGAAAAATAACAATAAGTTTGATAAAAGTGAAAATTAAATTCTAAAAATTGACAAATTTCCCACACTAAAATAGTTAGAACAATAATTTTGATAAACTTAACCTAAACAGTTGACTATGTCTAATAAAAAGGATATTTTCAGAACATATAAATTTGAGAAATACTGAAAATGACATTGAAAAGACTGCCAAATGCGGTGCCTTAAAATAGTTAAATGTTAATAATTTTAACAAATTTCGTCCAATGTTTGTGAAATTTGGACAGATGATGCATAACAATAATAAAAATCTGTGATAAGCTCATCAGTTGACTGTGTCTCAAGAAAAAGATTTTTCAGAGCATATGAATTGGAGAAAACTGAAAATTACATTGAAA